TTTTATAAGCAAAAAACACACGTCCAAACCCAAACCCAAGTTGTAGTGGGTTTTTGGATGTTCTCGGTCAAACCAGAAAACCAAAGCCAATTAGCTTATGGTTTTAAGCAATGTTGGGCCCAGTTGAGGGGAACCAGCCCAACAATCTCCTCCTTCACCTCAATTGGGGGGTAAAACCAAACCCGCTTCCTGTCTACAAAACAGGAGCTTGTTTCTACTCACAGTCTTCGTCAACATATCAACACCGTTGTCATCTGTATGGATCTTCTCAAGAAACAACGCCTTGGACTCCAACACATCTCGAATCCAATGATATCTCTCATCAATATGTTTTGATCGCGAATGAAATGTGGAATTTTTTGCTAAGTGAATAGCACTCTGGCTATCACAATACACCACATACTTCTCTTGCTTCATGCCAAGCTCTTGTAGAAACTTCTGCAACCAAAGTGCTTCCTTGCAAGATTCAGTAGCTGCGATAAACTCTGCCTCTGTAGTAGACAAAGCAACACACTTCTGCAACCTACTCTGCCATGAAAATACTCCCCCTCCATAAGTCATCAAGTAACCAGAAGTAGACTTCCGACCATCCAGGTCACCCACCATGTCAGCATCTGTATATCCATCAAACATGGTCTTCCCATTGCCAAAGCAAAGACTCAATCTGGAAGTACCACTAAGGTACCTGAGAATCCATTTCACAGCATTCCAATGCTCCTTACCAGAATTGGAGAGAAACCGACTAACAACACCAACTGCATGAGCTATGTCTGGCCTTGTGCAAACCATCGCATACATGAGGCTGCCAACTGCCGAAGCATAAGGAACCTTTTTCATCTCTTCCTTATCTTTCTCACTTTTAGGACACTGTGTTTTAGTTAGCTTAAAATGCCCCGCAAGTGGAGTCGAGACTTCCTTAGCACCGCTCATGTTAAACCTATCAAGAACCTTCTCGATATACTTCTCTTGAGATACCCAAAGCTTCCCATTCTATTTGTCACGAGAAATCTTCATCCCAAGGATCCGTCTAGCCGGACCCAAATCCTTCATCGCAGAGGATTTATTCAACTCCTTTTTCAACCTGGCAATCTTTGCAGTATCATAACCAACAATCAACATGTCATCAACATAAAGCAAGAGGATTATAAAATCACCATCAGAGAATTTCTTCACAAATACACAGTGGTCAGCTGTAGTCCTTTGGTATCCCTGCCCTATCATAAAGGCATCAAACTTCTTGTACCATTGCCTCGGAGCTTGCTTCAACCCATACAAGCTTTTGTTGAGACGGCATACAAGCTTCTCTTTCCTCTTCTCCTGAAACCCATCCGGTTGCTCCATGTAAATCTCTTCTTCCAAATCACCATGCAGGAAGGCTGTCTTCACATCAAACTATTCAATCTCAAGATTCAAGCTGGCCGCTATCCCAAGCACAACTCGGATTGAAGACATCTTTACAACAGGAGAGAATATCTCATCAAAATCGCCCTTTCTCTAATTGAATCCCTTCACAACCAATTTGGCTTTTTACCTCGGTTGTGAGCTGTTCTCACTTGTTTTAGTCTAAACACCCATTTATTCTTGAGTGCTCTCTTGCCCTTAGGCAGCTTCACCAGGTCATACGTGTTATTCTCATGCAAAGATTTGATCTCATCTTGCATGGCTGCTAACCACTGATCTTTCTGCTCATGACTAAGAACCTCTTCATACGACTCTGGCTCTCCCCCATCAGTAAACAACAAATAATCATGAGCACTGTACCTGGTGAAAGGTCTCTTGTTTGGTAGACCTCCTAGGCTGAACAGGAGGTGATGAAACCGGTGGTGTCTCTGGTTCAGTAACAGGATCATCATCAAACTCACCATCCTGCTCTGTCTCAGCTCCCCCCTCAGGAGAATCATCTGATTGTGGAGGAACTGTATCTAGATCAACAGGAATCTCAGGTGGAGATTCTGGCATCTCGCCTTTTCCCATATCATTAATGGTATGGTCTTCAAAGAAGATCACATCTCTGCTTCTGAAAACTTTCTTCTCTATAGGATCCCAAAGTCTGTACCCAAAATCATCATTTCCATACCCCAAGAATACACATTGCTTGGATTTGCCATCAAGCTTCGACCTTTCATTTTCGGGAATATGAACAAAGGCACGACAACCAAAAACTCGCAAATGCCTAAATGAGACATCTTTCCCTATCCAAACTCGTTGTGGTAGATCACCATCCAACGAACTGAGGGAGATAGGTTGATCAAATCAACTGCTGTCTGCATGGCTTCACCCCAAAAAGAGCATACACCTAACCTTTTCGGTAATAGTTCTGTTCATTCTTTCTGCCACGCCATTTTGCTGCGGAGTTTTCGGAACACTTTTCTGAAGTTTAATGCCATGGTCTCGGCAATACTTCTCAAACAGACCCCTGTACTAACCACCATTATCTGCCGAACACACTTCAACTTCTTGCCAGTCTCTCTTTTAACTCTAAGGTGAAAGTCTTTGAACACATCTAATACCTGATCTTTAGATTTCAAAGAAAAACACCAAACCTTTCGAGTATAGTCATCAATGAAAGTAACAACGTACAATGCTCCACCCAACGACCTATCTTTCATGTAACATACATCTGTATGAACTAACTCTAGAGGATTGGACTTTCTAGATGGAGGAGAATTTTGAAAGGAAACCCTATGTTGTTTACCATAGATACAGTCAACACAAGGTTCTAGAGCAGTACCTTTCACCTCTGGGAGAAATTGCTTCTTACCAAGAATCTGCAACCCCTTAACACTCATGTGTCCAAGCCTTCTGTGCCAGAGATCAATGGAGGCATTGTGAGTCGCATTCACCTCTCCATTCTTCAATTTTACATTCAACACATACAAAGAGTTCAACTTCTTTCCTCTAGCAATAACAAGATTCCCTCTGGTAATTGTCCAACGGCCACCACCTTCAGTGCTATGATAACCCTCATCATCAAGTTTACCAACAGAAATAAGGTTCACACGCATATTCGGAACATGTCTGACATTCTTCAAGACAAGAGTACAACATGTATTCATTACCAATAATACCTCTCCCATGCCGACAACATCATATGAGGCTTGGTTGCCCATTCTTACACGACCAAAATCTCCAGATGTGCAGTGACGGATTCAGGGGGGGTCAGAGTGGTCGATCGACCCCTCGGCCGGCTGGATTTGGCCAATTTTTTTCTTATTAGGGTGTCCGTTAATTGAAATTTTTTCAGTTCAACCCTCCTGTGACGGTTGAATAATCCTATTTTCGACCCCGTGATTTGAAAATTCTCGTTCCGTCACTGCAGATGTGTAAGAGGTAAAGAAGTGTCTGTGAGGCGTCACATGATAAGACGCACCTGAATCACCGAACCAATAACTGTTGTGACTCGCAACATTAATTGTATCATCATCACAGTACACAAATACATCACTGGTAGTTACTACTGCAGTAGTGTCATCATCATTTGATTCATCCTTCTTGCCTTTACCTTTTCTCGCTGCTAGTTCTCTGTTGAGAACCCTGCACTCCCTCTTAAAGTGCCCATTCCCTTGACAATGGTAGCAGACGACATCTTTCTTGGATTTAGACTGTCCCCTGGACTTGTCATTCCGATCACGTGGCCCTATGCTTTTACTTCTCCCTTTCATGTCTGCCTTTTCTGTAACCAGAACCTGCGACTCAAACTCAATACTCGGCTCTTTTCTTTTGACTTCTTCATTTATCAAAGCCTTTTTGACCTGATCCAAGGTCAAGACACCATCCTGGGTTGAATTACTGATTGACACTACCAAAGTGTCCCAACTGTCTGGAAGAGAACTAAACAATAACAAAGCCTACACCTCATCATCCAACTTTAAACCTACATTCACAGCTTGGTTCAACAAACCCTGAAACGAACTCAAGTGCTCATTCATGCTAGCACCATCTTTGTACCTGAACCTGGTAATCTGTTTCAGCGCAGATGACTTATTAATGCCGGACTTCTTCCAGTACATATTCTGGATTTTCTCCCAAAGTTCATCAGCTTTTGTTTCTCCCGAAAATTGATGAAACACACTTTGATCAATCCACTGTCGAATATTACCAACAATCTTCCTGTGCATATCAGCCTACTTTTTATCAGTCATATCACTTGACCTACCTTCATCCCCTAGAACAGGATCAAACGAATCTTTGCAATACAACAAGTCCTCCATTCTAGGTTTTCACATATGATAATTGGATGAAGTTAATTTAATCATCGTACCAACACCCGATAACTCTTTCATTGGTAACACCTCAACTACTGAACCATAGCTATAATATCAATGATGTGGCGGAAAGGGTATAAACACAACAAACCAGCGGAAACGATTCCCAAGAAAAACTCCTTTCCTACTACCAGTAAAATAGGACAACCAACCAAACAAGCAACTAATTCAAGAACTGATAAAGTAAAGTAGACACACAAATTACGTGGAAACCCAAATCGGAAAAAAACCACGGGATTGTAAAAACAGTCAAATCTCCACTATCACAATAATGGAAAAACAGTCTTCACCAACCGGTGGATACACAGGACTTCACCCAAAGGTGGATTACAACAATACTCTTCCAAAGTACACCTAAACCACAAAGTAGGATTGGAAGGATCTAACCAAAAGAGAGTTAAACCGAAAACTAAACCCTAGCTTTCTTTCTTTTTCTCTCGCGCACAAAGCTTTGTGCGGCTGCCCAATTTTTCACCTTCTCTCTTGGTTGAAAGCACATGCAAAAAAGCCTAATGCTGCCTTGCTTTTATAAGCAAAAAAGCACACGTCCAAACCCAAACCCAAATTTTAGTGGGTTTTTGGATGTTCTAGTTTAAACCAAAAAACCAAAGCCAATTAGCTTATGGTTCTAAGCAATGTTGGGCCCAGTTGAGGGGAACCAGCCCAACACTATACAATGATCATACGGCACCGGAGGTTAAGGAAATCATTAAGAGAGCTGGCTTTGAGGAGATAATGAAAGTAGGCTAAAAAAGAGTGGATCTCGGTCTCCCTACCGCGTTACTGGAACGTTGGAGGCCAGAAATCCACACTTTCCATTTCAATTTCGGAGAGGTGACTGTGACACTACAAGATGTCGAGGTCCTCTTCGAGCCGAGTGAAACTATATGTGAGTTCTATATTTTTAGTTTTTTATTTCTTATATTTTCCTTTTATTTTATTTTTTTAATCTTTTTATGATTTTTGTATTTTACTGTTTTAATTAATGTTCCAATTTCTTTTCAGGGTGAAGTATTGAACAACATTCGCGTGAGTTCCGAGCAGTTTAGAGATGATAGAGATAAGAAGAATCTCCTAGACAATGAACTCGGGGAGCATTTAAATGAAATCATCGATCAAACACATGCTGCTTTAACCCTGGGCCCAAATGATGAGATTGACATAGACGATACCCAAATCTTAGTTGATGACGAACCATCTCTGCCCTTACAATCTACACCAGGTAAAAAAGCAAAACCGTGACTGAGAGAGAAGATTGGAGGAGGACGAAAGCAAAAAATAGTGATCCACCTCGGTCATTGTAAGAACAAAATGAGGGTGACGGTTCAGGTAATCAACAACGAGAGCGCGAGACGGCTTCTTCTAGATGCTCGCCCATCCAGGTCGATACTCAATTTGAAGACATTGGTGGACCTGAGCCTCAATTTGAAGACATTGGTGGAGACTCACAACCACAGTTGGGAGTCCTATTTCTCATCATGAGAGAGTCTCAATCCCAACCCCAACCCCAACCGCGTCAACAACATGGTTCAATACTCACGTATCTTCGGAGGGAAGACAGGAACCGCCAGGTGCCAAATAAATACACTCCGAGTGCGTCTAGGAAAGAAAAGGGAAAAATTGAGCCCGTTAATTTTTTTTTTATTATTATTTTTTTTTACATTGAAAGTAGTTTTTGGATTGATACTTGTTATTTTTAGTTGTTAATCGAATGAAGTTTATTGTTTTGTTGCCATTAGATTTCCGTTATTCTATGTTTCATTGTTGTTGGTGCTGTAAACAGGTTTTGGACTGGTTAAAACCAGTCTATTTTTTTTAGTTCTGACAAAGATCCGAATTTCGTAAATCCGAAGTCCTGCATTTTATAAAGAACTCGGATTTTGTAAATCCAACTCAATGCCTATCTGAGAGTTCCAGTTTCTCAGAGAAACAGACGAGATCCGGATCACCTAAATCCGAATAGACACAACTTCAGATTTCCTTCATAATTCAGATTTATAGAATCCGTTTGAACTCTTATTCGGATTTCTATAATCCGAGTTTAGCCAAAACATTATTTTCCAACACTTATCAATTTCTCATCCCACCAGAAATTAATATTTTATTAGTGAATTTGGATTCAGGAAAGTCTGTATTTTTACTAATTACACTAAATCTTTTCATTAACTTAATATCTGATTAACATTACACAAACTCGAATTTCAGTAATCCGAAATTACAAAGATTCGGAGTTCGGTAATCCGACTGTTACCTTGATTCGGATTTTTGAAATTCGTGGCATATAGTTTTATTCACATAATTTCTAGTAAGTTTTTTTTTTTTTTTGGTATAGATCCTTAATGTGTAAATATAGTTAAAGAAAAAGCCCCACAATTACAAACCTGGTTGGTGTGATTTGCTGGGGATGGGGGGAAGGATGTTGGGTGAGGTTTGGGTAGAGTGAAAATTTATAAGGAACAAAAGAGGTTCAATGTAGTTACTGGCAGTAGAGTCATACCCTATTATCATTTATAAGAATATGGTGATGTCAGCAAACATACATGGATATTTATTCCTTCTAATTTTTAATATATATGTCATTTTAAGGTTTACAAGATTTCAAAATATATATCGTTTTATAAAATCAAGGCAACTTTCATCTTATTTTTCCAGTATTTTCCCTACATTAGAAATGAAAGTGATATTTAAAAGGGATTGTATTGGTTAGTGTTGAGTTGTATGGCTCCTAAATAGGGTAATTTTATATTTTAAACACATGATTGAATGTTCTATTGGTATTGATGAAATTGCTAGAAAGACATATATTTTGAAATGGAAGGAGTACTTCTTTTTAGATTATGGAATTATTTCATATGACCAACAACCAATGCAGAGCCGGGGTGCAAAGCACATTTTATGTAACATAGAGACCAAAATGGAACTCCGCTGAAAACACATGGGGTCTAATGCTAATCCTTTTTTTAGAAAAAATTAGAGGAATGAAGTATGTGTCCTTCGTTGCTTCTTTCTTAATGGGTGTGTGTATGGAAGTTTTTTATGCAATTGCTCATTGATGAGGAATTTTACGTTTTCAATGAACTATGTGCCATGAAATCGATCTTCCGATATGCTCTAAACATTTTCTATATTCTCTCTCTCTCTCTCTCTCTCTCTCTCTCTCTCTCTCTCAAGTTGGCTGGTTCGTTGGGAGTGCACTTGTGTCTAGGAAAATGTTGCATTTGAGTTCTGATGTTCCTGCATCTGCCGCATATGAAGTAATGATGAACAATAAAGAGGCCGGTGCTGTAGCAGTTTTTGATCGCATTCCCCTTTCATATGTTTCTGCTAATTTTACGTTCAACACTGATAATTGTGTAAGTAAAAATGACAAATTGCTACCCGGTTATGTTTTACTGTATCGAATTTCTTGTAATTTTTGATAATTGTAGTTCGCATTTGTCGTTCTTGGCAGGTTGCCGACTTGTATGGAATTAGAGCCAACCTGCTAGATGGAGGTGAAATTCGTGGAGCAGGAAATGCATGGATGAGGTTCCTCTCTATCTGATACAGTCTTCTTATCTTAAATATGAAATGAATGGCATAAATTTGCATTTAGGACTATTTATTGTGCTCCATGAAGTAGATTTGAACTGTATATTATGCGATGCTTAAGTTTTTCCCTTTGTTATGAGTTAACTATTTTTAACACTCTCATTCCTGTAATCATTTTCAACTGTTTGGGATTGTCCTTATTACTGAACAATTGTAAATTGCAGACTACATGAGTTACAGTTCGACAGAAGTAGCTGGACAGCAATTTTGCTGTGGTTATCTTGAGAACTTCTGCTGCACTTTTAGTCTCTTAAAGTAGATAACTGATAATTCTGTGTTTTTAAGTTGTTGGACTCAATCACGGATTGATTTCCAACATTAGCTTTTGTCACATAAACAAATGCAATGAAATCCCTCCCAAAGATAAGCGTTTCTGTTCCATTCATGTATATGATGAAGCATTACAAAGTTATTAAAGCATCAAACTGATATCTCTTTTGTGAGAAATGATTCTGTTTAAACTTCTTTAGTCCTTGTTTGTTCATTATTCATTATTGTAACATGTACTTTTTAGTTACCTTTAATATTGTTTTAAAGCTTCAGTTATTGCCGAATAATGCTTAGTTTTGAGCTTCATTTTCCAGGGTGAAGATGATGACACAGCAATGGATGTGACCTTTTCAGGGAATTTAGGCTTTGATAAGATTATGCACGTTATATACCTGGGTATGTCCAACTGATGCCCCTTAACTTAGGGGAATTTAATGGAGAAACAAAACTTTCTGGGTCCTTACTGAGACCGTAAGATTTCTGTTGCCTTTGCTATTTTAAACCTGAATTTTGATTTTAAATGGATGGCTCTCGTATTTGCTTTCCAGATATGCATTGTGATTGAGAGGTATTGGCTATCAGATGAATGCATTTCATTATAGGAGGTTTGACATTAAGTGGACAGCACCTAAAGCTGAAGGTTCACTTGCTGATGCCCGCGGAGATATTATAATCGCACATGATTACATTATTGTCAATTCTTCATCAGTTGCTTTCCAGTTGAACACAAAAGTTTTAACATCTTATCCTCATGAACAGTGGTTAAATGAAAGGGATTTTGATACCGACATCCCTTTTCCTTTGGTAGTGGAAGGAGTTGAATTGGATTTGAGAATGCGTGGTTTTGAGTTTTTCAGCTTGGACTCGTCCTTCGCTTTGGATTCTTTAAGACCTGTGCATCTGAAAGCCACAGGAAGGATTAAGTTTCAAGGGAAGGTTACTAATCAAAGAAGCAGCAGTGATGGTCAAGACTGTGAATTTGAGAATAGTTTGGAAGTTAAAGAGGACGCTAGTGTGGCACATTTTCTCTCTGGTGATGTTCTGATGTCTGGTCTGAAACTGAATTAGTTAACGCTGGCACCTCAGTTGGCTGGAATATTTAGCATTACAAATAAGGGAATCAAGGTTTGCCAAGTAGATCATATAACTTGGAATATTTTTCTTTAACTTGTTTGACAAGATAATGTTGTCTTTATTTTTTTGGTGCTCGTTTTAGCTATCAAGCTGTTAATGTTGTTCATCATCATAATAAAAATTAAGATTTATGAACGAAATGTGCAGGGTCTCTTATAATTGGGGAAATTAGCTTCTATAGGAAACTAAAAAATAGTAGATAGTCCCTAACAATTCTCATTTGCACTTATTATGAAAGAGTTGCAATCTTATGTTAGGGACCAAGGATCCTAGTAAGTGGGTTCACATGTTCAAAATTTCAACTCTAATGCACTGGCTTACATCTCACCATTTTTGGGGGAATTTGCATCTGGCTATGTGTTAACATTTAGCTATTGGACCATATATTGTGTCTCTGCTTCACACAAATAGACCTATCCTCCTCAACAATTGATCTGTTAGAATTGCTTGGTGTTACTTCAAGAATTGAATTGTAGCTCTGCTTGAAACAATCCAGACTGAGATATTCTCTTGACAGTTTCTGTGTCTATATAAACCTCTCTCTCTCTCTCTCTCTCTCTCTCCCTCCTTTTGGTGTCTGCTGGAAGTTCATTATTTGTTGTTGCCTTTTCCTATAGATTACTGAATAATTATGTTAACTAAGTTTTCTGCTTGTATGTAACCAGCTGCGGAGTTTACCATTAGATGAGCTGGAGCTTGCATCCCTTCGTGGTTCCATTCAAAAGGTGAAGTTCTAATTTTTGTCATGTTTTACTGAGGATATGCCATTTACCATTGAGTAGTTCAAGATTTGTGGACTGTCAGATGACTAAAATGAGGTCTATCATAGGGCTGACCAACGTCTTATTGCCTTTGTAACATGAAATATTTACAACTTACTGTCTTTCACTGATTAGGATATTTCTGTCCATGACTGAAAATCTGAGATTCTTGAAAGACTGCTGTGTCTTTTCTTAGTAGATTGTTGAAAGAACCTCATATTTGAGTGGTTGATTTTAGTTCTCTGTACTTGACCATCTTGAATGTTCCTTGCAGCTGTACACATAGTACTATATGATTACTATTTTGAATTCTGAGTTTATTAGTACGTTTGAATTCCCGGAGGAACATGGAAGTTTCCTCCATGTGGGTGTATCTGTTTTTGTTTACCTTTCATGATTGGACCCCTCTGATGGGGATATGAGAGACATTTCTGCATGTTGTGGCATCCAAATACTTGTTCATTGAAGGATGGTTAATTAACTGACAATTTTATCAACTCTTGTTTGATGATTTGTCAAGTTATTCTGAATTTGGATTTTCAAGGCTATGATCACATTTACCCATTCTTTGTTTCATCATGGACTAATTCATTTATTTAATTTCAAATTTTTGGAGCTTAACTGTGTCCTGTGATTTTTTCAGTCGAAATTATGTTGGGTGTTTTGTGACACATGAATGAGCTTTCTCTTTGTAAGTTTTTTTTGAGTAGATAATATGCATAACTTGATTTTGCCAAGTGTTCGTTTCCAACTACAGCTTAGTATCTATCTTATGGCGCACAACATGTACTATATGATGTGTTACTTTGGTTTATACATTAGAGAAAGAGATTGATAATAGAAAGATGCACCATAAGATTCCTTACACACACGACCATGGCTGACTTCGCAGCTTGATTTACTAAATACCTTTGTTATTCAAATTCTTTTAACTTAGATTATAATGAACAAGAATCTTATCATTACTTTAGTTTCTAGTATCCTGATCTGTCAGAATTGTTATTCGTTTTAACAAAGTTTGTTCCTTTCACTATTGAGAACTAGCTCTTGTGCTCCATATATTAAATTGGTAGTTGTATTTCCTGGACTTTTGATTGTAAACACCTTATTTCTCGCTTCCAGTTTTACTTAGTTTTAAAAGTTGGAAATTTATTATTTGGACATTATTGGACATGTCAAAGATTGTTTTTATTAATAGAATCTAGTAAAGGACAAAACTTTTACGGATTTACATTGAAAGCATTTGAATGTTTACAGAATTTGTACCTTTATGAATTTAATTTGTTTATGAGATTCATGAAATAACCACATCCACGTGCATCATGCCTAGCACCACAACTGAAGATACTGTCCACCTATGCTATTTACTTTTTGTAGTATGCTCAACCGCCACATAGATATCATCTATAAGCTTCAGGAAAATTTTGATGTGTTAAACTTGTGTCTGTTACAGTCAGGGGAATCTGGCAAACATGGATGATACATGTATTATCATCCATGTAGCAGTTTCTATCATCCAAGGCTGATGGTCTTTTATATAGCCTTTGTGCTTTAATTTTCTTATTAATGTATATAAGAAACAGCAAGCTAACTCATGCACTGGTTTTTTATATTGGATTTGTGAATATTTGGTAGCTAAAGTTGCCATAAACTAGCCTGTTTAAGTAAAGATCCTCCTAGTTTGATTGTGTTCATAGCGGGGATGAATTTGAGTTGGTATGTCGGTTAAAGGAGAAACTGTTCACTAGTTGGGGTGGTCAAGGTTCCAATTTAAAGAAGATGAGGTGAAGATCGAAATACAAAAGAAGTAGCACTGGTTTGAAACTTTTTCTTTTGTAATGGAGTTTCATTTTGGTATGCAAGGAATACAGGATTTTATACCGATTGTCAAGAGGCTTGCAGTAGTTGGTTTTATGTGTCAGTTTGTTGCTTCTTGTCCACTCTTGTGTATCTTTGTAACATTTTTTATGTATAAGCCTTTAGTAAGAGACAAAGAGGTTCCCCGAGAAATGTTAGCTGATATACAATATTTGACTTGCTGGTCTACTTTATTTGACTTAGATCCTTGGACAAAGTTAGAAGTTACAAATTTTGCCTTGCACTTTTTGATGCTTGCAGATGTAGACATCGAACTTTTGTAAACTTGGTAGTTGTTACCCAATTTATTAGGAACGGCGTCTGGTCCAGTGAAAGAATTAGTTTGCTCTACCTTTAAAAATTATAAAATTTTTTTTTTTTGTAGTCTTTAGTTTTGGCCAGCTATTCTTTTTACTTAATTGACTGAACATCTATTGCTTACTTTCAGGCAGAAATTCAACTCAATTTTCAGAAAAGAAGAGGTCACGGTGTCTTGTCTGTTCTTCGGCCAAAATTTAGTGGTGCTTTGGGGGAAGCTCTTGATGTTGCTGTTAGATGGAGTGGTGATGTTGTAAGTACAATATCATAGTTTCTTTTTCCTCTCATTCACATATATGCAATAAGGTCCCTTGCTTCTCTTCCTGAAACAAGTCAAGAATTTTTATTGGAATATAATGTACCTATACTCATATATCTTTTCGTTGTGCTGCAAAGCTTATGAACTATCGAATCTTGTTCTCATGTGCACAGACTCTCTAATTGATGAAACTCAGTTGAAATTTTTACAGATCATGTCATCCATCAACTTTACAAGTCATTTGTTATTTGTATATGTGCATTTCTCTGTTTATATATTGCCTATCGAGTGTTCCCTGGAAATCATAGGGGATCATGACCTCGAGCAGACCATTCTATTATATATTATTGAGATCCCTGATATGGCTCTATTTGTGTTTAAATCAATCATTTTATCCATCCTGTTCTGACACTTTTCTTCCTATCTCTTGGTCAACACTTTGTATAGCAACTTGCTCTTTCCATAAAGAAATCTGCTGGTTAATAGTGATTAGTACCTCCAATTTGAATTCTATTCATTCCCTTAGTTATCCGAACTTCATGAACTGATCTATCTGTTCATCTTTGTGATAGTGGTCAGGTGGATACCCAGTTGCAGATAAGTGGCTCCATATTGCAACCCACCATATCAGGGAAAACAAAATTAAGTCATGGTGAGGCTTATATACCCCATGACAAGGGTAGTGGTTCAGCTCCATTCAACTGAGATGTGTCTAACCAAGATGGGGTCCCCGTTCATGGTTACAACCGTGTGGTTGCATCAAAATATGTGTCTCGTTTTCTTAACTTGAAACCTGTTTCTTCAAACATCACAGATCTTGAAGTTTCTGGTAAGTTATGGTCTCAATTTTGATATTTCTATTTTGAGTATGGTTCTATAAAATTCAATGTGGGGCTATATCTTCAACTGCTATAGCTGGTGCCAATGTTTTGAATAACTTGAAAATTGCTTTGAATATTTTTGCGGGAAAGTCTACTCTTTTGGCTCGGTTTTTAATATTTACTCCACTGATAGGGTAAAGAAGCTGTAGTGTCTATGTAATTCCTACTTCCAGAAACTTCATATTCTTGTTACATATTGGCAGATGTCAGAGATACCTGTTGAATGTCCCACTAAAAATTACAATTTCACATGATGATGCAGCAGTGGAGCTTCATACCACTGTAAAGGATCAAATCAAAGGAGAAGATGGGGATTGCGTCTCCCTTTCCATTCTTAAGAAACTTTGTACAAATATGCATTGAACATATGGAGTATTCACTGAAAGAAAGAAGTACAAACAATAATTGTTTAGTAATTTTCATATTGTGAATGAAAATACAGATTTAAAGTATGTGTACTCATTCCTGAAGGCTTCTGTTTTGCTTGCTGTTTGGCATGAGAAACGTTTATTATCATGGCAGGGCATCAGAATATCACTACAGCAGTGATAATTCACTAAATTTTGACAACCTACTTCAAACCTCGCCTCGTTCTTGTGACATGCTATCTTTCCCTTCTCTATTCCCAAGTAAGGGTGAGTCCCATGCGTCAGTTTGTGGATCACGGTCTCACACACTAATCCCTACAGGTGCCCGTAGTAGGCCGGCCGCCCTACCTAAACCAATCATCATATCGGTCCCTAAGTCCCATTCCTGGAAAGACTCGGCTTCAAAACCGTACGTGGAGCTTCCGCCTCATACGGCTCCTCTAGGGATGGAGGTAGACCCAGCCCCGGCTTGTGCGGTTAAGGTTGTTGTACACGACCTCATAAGAAAGTCATAAAAAAAGACAATTACACTTGAACGAAATGCAAGAAATTTTACGACGTAGGCGCAGGGAATGAAAAAAATAAACCCTATGCTTCGAATCTGTAAAGTTAATCAGGCAAAGAAGTTGAAGATGAAAGGGGATGCCCCAAGTCAGTAGTAAGCCCAAAGTAGATGTTCGCCTTAGTGACTTGAAGCTTGTTCTGGGACCAGAATTGAGGATAGTTTATCCTTTGATCCTTAATTTTGCTGTCAGTGGAGAGCTTGAATTAAATGGAATAGCTCATCCCAAATGAATAAAACCTAAAGGCATTCTAACATTTGAAAATGGAGATGTGAATCTTGTCGCCACTCAGGTTTATTTCTTTACAATCTCCACTATATCCTATTGCCGTTATGCAAAGATCAAATGTCCATTTTGTCCCAATGTTTAGAAGCTCTTTCAATGAAAGCCCATTTCTGTTGTTTAATACAGGTAAGGCTTAAGCGAGAACATCTGAATATAGCAAAATTTGAGCCAGATAATGGGCTTGATCCATTGCTGGACTTGGCTCTAGTTGGGTCTGAGTGGCAATTTAGAATTCAAAGTCCGGCAAGCCAATGGCAGGATAAACTGGTCGTCACCTCTACACGGTCTGTGGAACAAGATGTTCTATCACCTTTTGAGGTAACAATTCAAACATGGAAGTGTCTGCTATTTCCTATTTTATTAGATAAGTACAATTGTAACACTCACTAGGAACCTAGAACCCTTAGATGTTCTGTGTGAATGTGAGCAATTACTTGTCTTTCTGTCGTATAAACTTCTGAATACCCTTGCACATCGTGGTGTTCATTTTGGATTTAGGGATCTTTGGTATTTCTTTAGTTACATGTGTTAACAGCTTGATAGAGTATGCACAAAAAATGAATTAGCTCCCATATGAATTCAACACACTGCAGAGGTAGTTGCCCTTGGTAAAATGGCTTACCGATTTCAGTTTTGTTGTCTACCGCAACGTAGTGGTTAAAGATGGGAAAAGAACTAGTTGATTAGTATATGTAAAAATGCATTTTCTTATGATGATGTACTTGTTTCTGGCTGAACAGGCTGCCAGAGTGTTTGAAAGTCAACTGGCCGAGTCTATCCTTGAAGGCGATGGCCAGCTTGCTTTTAAAAAGCTTGCCACTGCAACTCTTGAAACACTAATGCCAAGAATAGAAGGGAAAGGGTAGTTCGGACATGCCAGGTGGAGGCTAGTATATGCACCTCAAATTCCCAGTTTGCTGTCTGTTGATCCCTCGGTTGATCCACTTAAATCTCTAGCTAGCAACATTTCATTTGGTATAGAAGTGGGAATCCAGCTAGGGAAGCGTCTACAGGTATGTCTCAACCTTCTCATTAAGCTTGTGACTATTTTTGATCAAAACTTATCCTATCAAAACACGGCACAAGGAAGAAGACAAGTAATATGGGTTTAGCCTAATTTTTTTTCTGAATTGCACTCTTGAATGAAAGATGAACTAGAAGTTGAAACTTGTTATGAGGCCAAAATGTTCCGTGGGACTTACCTTTTGCTACCCTATATCTATGTTTTAACGCTATGTGAAGTCACATTTTGTTGGTTGGATTTTCAGGCATCCGTTGTGAGGCAAATGAAGGATTCAGAGATGGCTATGCAGTGGACTTTGATCTACCAACTTACGAGCCGTCTGCGTGTGCTGCTTCAATCTGCCCCATCTAAACGTCTCCTCTTTGAATATTCTACCACTTCTCAAGACTAGGCCCTTATATTCAAAGTATTTTTTGCAAATGTAGTACTTATTCGTTCTGTAAATACCGATCCTTCTGCACCCCCATATCTTCCCGGAACTTGTAGGGAACAAACAATCCCTACCCTGTAATTGATTAATGGATATATGAAAATATTCTTTGCTCAGATTGCATCTTTGCGAGTTTCTGTGGTTGCTTTGGGCTTCTTTGATTGTTTGATACTACGTGGCTTTGTTTGAAACGTCCTTTTAGTAAATTTTTTCAAAATTTTTGGTTAATGTGTTCTTCATACTCACTGAAAAACATTTCAAACAGAATTTTTTGAGCACTTCTTTTTTTTTTTTGGCATAAAAAACGTCTCTCCATTTGCAATGTGGGGAGCCTTTCGACACAAGGAATCGATTAGAATTTTGCTTGTAAGTCTGTGGGAGCATAGCCAAACAACGATTCACTCCAAAGTCCAAACTCCGAAGGGCTGTGCTTGAGAAAATTATTTTCTCTTCAAATGGTTATGGTACACAGGTCCTTTGATTGAATCCCCAAAATGTAAGTTACTGATGATGAAGCTTCTTTCAAGAGTGTTAAACATGGTAATGATATCTTTCAAGGAATTCGAAAATGTTCAAAATTTTAGGGTAATGTTGTAAAAACAATTATGGAAAATGATATATATATATATATATGGTGAAAAAAAATAGTGACAAAATATAGTGACTGATGTGGGGTAATTATGGTCCCATATTTTGTTTTCGGGAAGGGAAATAAAAAGTTTTTTTTTTTTTATAATATATTGGGGAAGCATAATTGCTTAGTTACAAAATACCCTCCTAGCTAGGAGGTGTGATATCAAAAGCTAGTTTCTCTAGGATAGATGACGGAGGTGTTGCCAAAATATGTAACCCCTCGGGGCGGAGTAGTCCAAATTCGCAAGAAAATCCGCTACTTGGTTCCCATTTCATTTTATGCGGAGAATCGCAATTAGTCAATTCCTATCTAGCAAAATTAACAGTCTCCGGAGAACACTACTAGCTTGATTTTGGGCAACTCGTTCTCGCAGGGCTTTTACTGTCTGAAAACTATGGGTTTGTAATTGGACCTTTCTGAAGCCCAAGTCCCAGGCGTAGCCCATAAAAAGTTAGAATGATTTTATCTTTTTTATTTAGGACGATTATCCGATTTTTCAGTATAAATTTGTGTATTGCCAATACAATTTTCGTTATTTCAAATATTACTGTCCATTTTCCATCAGTTTTGGCCAAAATCTTCTTCCATTTCAGGACACATTCTGCATTCAATGGCAATAAGCCTTCTGAAAACATCTCCCCGAAATGTTTGCTCTAGAAACTCTACATGAATTTACACGTAAAAACAATAACCTCAAAATTCCTAAGCTAGTGGTTACCCACTTCCCATGTAAGCTTAAAGGATCAATGGAAATCTTGGTTATCTCCACCGTCTTTTTAACACCGGTCCCATCTGCAAGCATCAAATACAACATGATGAGGAATCACCTGTCAAACATTAAACCAAAATGAAAGAAGTTCACCACCATTTGGAATGGTTGGGCACAAATGAAAGATGTGAACACTTTATTATGTTTCATTCTTTATGAAAACAAAAGTGTGATTCATTCACCGGTTTTGTTTCTCCATTTGTATCACATTATTTGCAAAGTCATTCACCATGAATCTACTTATTTTAGGCCTATGTCACAAAATCCAAGGCCATTTTCTTAGTTTATCTATAATCTATTAGACTATTAAGGCACGATGCCAGAAATCTTAAATTGCAATCATGCTGGCTCTTAACTAGCACAAACTTTTGTTCCCGGTAAACTTCAACAATAGTGATATGTAATAGCACAAACTTTTATTTTCCTTTTCATTTCATATTACTCTTCGTATTGTTTTCAATTTCCTTGGAATTAACATATATACGACACTTTTTGCATTTCTGCATTTCTGTGAAGACAATTGAAGTGTAAGTGGAGAGTGTCTTGATATTGTTTAATGTTTGTTGTTTATTTTTTATTATAATGTTTTTGTAGAATATGATTAAGGTCGCTTTTAATTAAACACTTTTTTGATGTTTTATTAACTGTGAGGGGAAAGAAAAAGAAGATATAATGGATGTTGCAGTTGCTAGAGAAAATTGTAGTGGTAGTTCAGCTGATGAAAATAACCGCGTGAAGATCCATCAGACCCAGGAAGAGGCCAAAAGTTTTATCATCGCCACTTTATTCATGTCATCCAGCCTTGAAGCGTAAGTATTTATAGATGAACTACCATGTGTCTCTTGGTAACAATTTCTAAACATAAATTACAAGTGTGTATGTGTATGTGTGCGTGGGTTTTTTTTTTTTTTTCATTTTCTATTTTGTTATTGTATTTTTATGTTATGTACAAACAGCACTCATGGCCTACATGAATAAATTATGTCGTATAAGAAGATATTTGGATTTCAAATGATATATTTTTCTATATACATGAGAATTGCAGTTCTTGTGTATAAACATTACCATTATCCATCAAATCTGGATGAATTCTCAACAATAATTAAATAGAAAGAAAAGTTGGCCGAAGTACAGGAGCAAGAATCAGATTTTTCTATCCGATTTACAACAACTTCTATTGGATTCTAGTTTCTTTTTTAATATTGGATAATTTCAACCATCTAGTTAATACTGTGCTTATTTCACATACCAAAAGTTTAATGTTGGATTCTTATTCATTATTTTAGATCCTTTTGCATTTTTTCCTTTAAATTCTGGTGTTCAAGTCATTTTTTTCATTTTGGTTTTCAAAAAATAGTTTGGCTTAGCTATATGTATTTTGATTTTTGGTGATAACTATTTTGACCATTCCTTGATTTGAGTTTAATTGGACCACATTGAACTGTATACATATATTTATGTCACTGTAGCTTTATATTTATAACTAGTCTTTTACGTGTCGCGCGTTGCGCGACCATTGTATCGATTAATCTTTTACATTTTTTATTTTACACATTCCAGAACACCATAAATATTTATGAGAAAAACAAAAGAAATAATTTTTATTTATTTTATTTTGGGAAAAAATTATAATAATGTCTAAAGTTTTCTTAAAAAATGTTACTATAAATTATGTAATTTGAGTAATCACTTCATTAAAACTCTTGACTATTGCGCTGTGAAATAAAAGCTATGAGTCTCAAAAGCTTACCCGCCAATGGTGACTTTATTATTGTTTACATTGTCAAATTTTGCACAACAATGAGTGTTACAAAAGCTTACAGAAGACGATGAGCAGCCATTTCATACATGCAGCAGGTTATTTTTTCAAAAATGAAACATAAAGGAAAGCATCAGAACTTGAAGAAAAGGCGAGAAGCTAACAATATAAGCAAAGGGCATGACCAAAAGTATTTGATGCATATTAGATTCAAAGCAGCTATTTTACAAGAAGAAAAGTTAAAATTGAGAAATGATTTTCCATGATACAACAAGATTTAAATGCAGGTCCATTGTGTAAAACCTCTGACAAATAAAGAGCCAATATTAATTTACATTACTAAATTACCAAGCATTACTACACTAAAATAACATGTAATGGAATCTTATGCTTATATTGGACAAAGAATTACCTAATTTACGTCCTTTCGCCTACTCGCTCTTCTTCAACAGCATCATCGATGCCGCTCCGCAACTTTTTTCTTCGACAGAGGGGAGAAAAGAATTTGATCGGGTTTTAGGTATAGATTTGATCGGTTTCGACCATCTGCAGCTATGAGCACCGCTCCACCACTTTATTCGACTGGGGGAGGTGGAAAATTGACGGACAGAGGCTGCTATTGTTGATTGGTTGGCTTTTGTTACAAGAGAAGCTTAAAACGCCAGACAGGGGAGGAAATCAACGTCGGTAAAGGAAGATGCAAAAAAGGACGTCATTGATTTCTACTTTCCAGCTCCATCGCACTATTGCTGACCAGTTAAGAGTACAGAACATCAATGATCCCAAATTGCAGTACATGAGGACAAATAAATTAGAACTTTGCAATGATGAAAAAAATTAGTCACGGAAGTTATGATCTTTCTTGATTAATGATGATTTACCTAGGGTTTCAATAGCAGGAGGAGGGGAAAGTGCATTAACGGAGGGAGTTGTTGACAAGAAGGCACGCAAAATCTTGGTGGCACCGCTTGCGATGAGGCGGTACGCAGGATCGACAATCTTGGACAACCACCATCGGCTTCCGGTCTGGGATACGCTAAAACAACAGACATGGGGAAAAAGTTACCTTAATGAAGCCGAGAGTAATTGATGCCCAAGGAAGCTGGGAAGTTGAAGAAGAAAAGCTGTGTCAGATTCTAATTGTGATGTGTGCTGAGGATTTTATAGACGTGGTTGGCGATGGAGATTTTCTATTCCTAAAAGGATTATGGAATCATCGATGCAAACAAATGAAAATTTCCTAGTCCTTATACAATACAAATCCAAATTTACATCTTAATAAAAATCTAAAATTAATTGGGAATTTCCTAATCTTAATACACATGCGAATTTGTCGTCACATCCGTCTGCACCGACTTTACTGTCACATCGCCTGCTGCGCCATTACCACCTCCTTGTTCTTGTCAACACCGCTTTCACCGCCATGACATCCTCCCCCACCTCCATTAAGGAAGGGTTGAATGGCCGATTTAATAGGTGGCGGTGGTTTGAAAAGGAGCAGTCGGGAGTAGAAGAGCTGTCCGTTTTGCAGGGTTTTAGTCCGATGTTCATATTTATAGTTTGGGGAAAAAGGATCAAAACTACGTCGCTTTTTTTTGGCCTGGGGATTTTTTTCCCAAAAACATGTGGTATTTTTAACCGAGGGAACATAAAATTTTGGAAACAAAATTTATGAAATTCTGTTTTTAACCCTAATAAGTCGCTAACGTCATATCTACCCCATCCGATGGACAAGATCGATTTGACGGTGGTCCTTGAATATTTTTTGGACATTATTTCTTGCTTACTGTGCTTTTTATTTAAGTATAAGGAAAAGATTCTTTTTAGTCTGTTATCATGTAACTTTTCTAATATCTTAAACGAGTGTAAAATCCAAATAGTGATTATATAACTGTAGTTTTTGTTTGAGAGTTTGTTGGATAAAATATCTAAACAAACTATATAATAATTTAAATCATGACTTTTTTTGGTCTTCGTGAAAAGTTCTTCATAAAGAGTTCTCTTGCTAAATTTAAGGTTTTTCAAGGAGAACCAGCATGCAAATGAAAGCCAAAGACAACAATTAAGTAGGGACCTAAGCCTAGAGCCAAGACAAATCAAGTTTTGGTTTTAGAATAAGAGAACACAAACAAAGTTACTGTCATTTATTAATTTTGATCAACATTGGTGGTCATTTTTTTCCAGTTAAATTATTGAACTTCCTATTTACTTATAATTAATTGTGTTGATATGCTAATGCTCTCTCCTTTTTGTTTATGTGGCTTTTGTTACGAAAATGGTGCAGTCTAACAATGAAAGATTAAGCAACACGGCTCTAAGAATAGAGAACGTACATCTTCATTATGAGAATATCGCAATGAATGAAATCATGAACCATCTTATGTGCAACAAATGTGAAGGCTTAGGTTATGGCGGCAGCAAAGAAGCCAGCCGCCAAAACCTACAAAAGTTAAAGAGTGAAAATGAATTCTTGAAGGGAGAGGTTAGTGTTTACTTTTTTAGGTCATATAATTATATTAAACAAAGATTAAAATGATTGTTCCTTAAAGCATGTCTATGGGGTTTTTTCTTAATTTTAATTTCTATTTATTTATTGGCAGTATGAAAGAGTCCAAAGAATGATAGCAAATACACAAGGAAGAAGAGATGGTCTAAACTTGATGCCTATGTCACTTAATATTCCAAATGAATCATCTGTAAGTTTTTGTCAGGGAATCATAGCAGGAAATGCTAGCAATAACAATACATTATTTGGTTTTTTCTCCCAAATATCATAGGGTTAGGAAAACAATCATTAGGTCAACAAAATCAGTTTCCTAAGATAGAAGACATGGAACAATTTGTCTTTTTTAAAAATGAGATTAAGGCAATGGATGAATTGGTGGAAGTAATCACTATAAATGACCCACCCTGGATCTGATCACCCGTTGATGGATCATTCATGATTCACCATGAGATTTACAAGAAGCTTTATCCCAAAATCATGTGCACTGATTCTCCTATGGCTTGGATTGAATCATCAAAAGAATCGAGGATTCTACTTGCGTCTACTTCGCATTCGCTTAATGTCTTTCATGATCAGGTAATTTAAATAGTACTATAAACTTGTCTTATTCATTTTTTTTTTGCTTATTTTTTTAAAAGATAACTTCTTGTGTTTTGATACATTTTGCAGGTAAAGTTTATGGAATTTATCCCTACAATTGTCACCAAATCTAAGAAGATCGAAACGCTTGATACCTTAGGCCAGAAGGGTACTTTATATTTGGTATGATACTTGGAAACCAAAGTTTTGATTTTGAGTGTTTGTTGATTTTGATTTAGATATAGAATTATCAACTACAAGAAAGAGTAAGACTGTATTTTTTTTTTCTAGATGTACGAGAAGTTGCATGTGCTTTCGCCTTTGGTGGCACCTCGAGAATTTATTTTCTTTCGATACCTAAGGCACATGAATTCAACAACATAGATCATAACTCAATTTTCATATGATTTTTCAAGGAAGTAGAACTTTCAACTTCACAAGCACGGCTACTACAATCTGGTTGCATGATCGAGGACTTGTCCAATGGAACATCAAGGGTATTAATTCGTCTACACATATTATTCCCTTAATTAACTCATCTTGTTATACCAATTTTGCAATTTAATAATTAATTGCTGATTATCATTAAATTGTGGCAGTATAGGTGACTTGGGTAGAACACGTCCACGTGGATGACACATCTTATCCATTACGTAAGGACATAGTTTGTAATACCCTAGCTTATGTTGCCAAGTAATGGATTGTCTCTTTAGAAAGGATGTGTGAACGTTTTGGATTTTCAGGACTCTGAGCTACGCCAAGTGAACCTCAAAGAGTTATATAATGTTAATGGTTGAAAATCCTTATATACTCTTTAGGATTAAAAAAATTTACAATTATGTTAAAATAATTTTTAAAAAATTATTGTGCTACTACATATCACTGTTGTTGTTCAAATTGTTTTGTTTCTTCTTTTGTTTCATATAGTGATCAATACGCAACAAAGTAGAGCAGCCATGGGAAAGATTTTAGATAGAATGGTGAAAAACTTTCATCAGATGCTAACTGTGCAAGACAAATATTGGGATTCTCCCCAGCTATCGAAATTCCAGACTAACAAGTTTAAAATTTCATTAAGAAGATGTGACAATCATCCTTCAATTGCTGGAGCCAATGGGACGGTAATTTGTGTAGCTGCTTCCTTGAGGATCCTAACTTACTATGAAAATTTGTTTAATTTCTTGTAAGATGAGCAAGCTAGAGCCGATGTACATAAATATTTTTTCCTCTCTCTATTATTGTTGATAACAAATGCACTAAAATCGCTCAATATTTATACACTAATTTTAAAAATATTTCTTTTTTTTTTCATGAAAATTATCTTATAAAGTGGGATGTTTTGACTAACGGAAATTCCATCAAAGAAATCGAACACATCTCAACTGGAAGTCATCCTAGAAATGCAATCTTTCTCAAGCAGGTAACTATTTTTATATACATTTATCATTTGTTTGTATTAATTTTTTCTTTCCGAAACTCATTGAAAAAAAAGAAGCTAAAATTTTTAGAATAGCTTAATAAATGTAATGCGACAGCCTTGTACAAAGGAGAATAGCAACATGTTAATACTTCAAAACAGTAACAAAGATGCGTTGATGGCTTCACTAATTTACACTCCTCTTAAATTGCCCATGGTGACGTCCATAATATGTGGTGTTGACAATCATGAATTTCCAATTTTACCCTCTGACTTCATCATTGCAAATGAGTCTTATCGTAGAGTTGATGGTGGTGGGATTGGTCTCGAAGGAGCATTACTTCTTCTTCTTCTTCGGGTAGATCATGAGGCGGAATGTATCGTTGCTGACAATGGTTTTGCAGATCCCGACATTTAATAATGTTAAGGAGCCGAACATGGTGGAATTGGTTGCTACTGTTTATACACTCATGGAATCCACCATTGAAAAGATAAAGAGAGCCATCAGAGTTGATTATGAGTGAACAGAGATTTTCGATACTGTTTGGATATGTAATTTGGATTTGAATTTTATTAATGATTTGAAATACTACTTTTTATTATTTTTGACAATTTGATCTTTATTGAGGATCGTTGTTTTATTTTTCATTTTTCCTTTGTCACTTAAATATAATTAGTTTTACCAAGAATTGGATTCTCAATTCCGGGAAACCAAATTCCTAACCATAACCCCTAACTATTAAGCCCTTTTCTTTGCATCATGACTCTTGCATCATGAAACTAGGAACTTCCAATTTCAAATTTCAACACGAGTAGACTCACTAAAAGCAGTCATTTGATAATTCAAATCAGCTAGGATACTAGACAAAACTTCACACGAAGATGCAATCTTCTCAGTGAATATCTCCATCATGCTCTCACAGTTCATCACTCCATGGTATAAATCACGATTCATGCAAACCCTCGCTCGATGAATATAATTCAACTCAAAGCCAATCTTGTTTGCCGAGCGTTCTTCATCATAAGCTTGCACCAATTGCTCCAATTTACTCACTTGTGCAGCAATTCCATGGAAAGAACAACACAGCTCCTTTTTAGAGGCTTCTTCACCTATGGTTATGAGGAATTAAACACACTATACTAAGAAAAACTCCCAAAGATTTACAGATGAAAAATCCGAGAACCCTCCCCCTTTGAATCAAAGGAAGATTTGGTAATTACACTCCCCAAACTCACTAAGAAACATCTCTCTTTCACCTTTTAAGAGATGACATTCTCGAAAAGAAAAGAAGTTGAGAAGATGACGTAGTTCAACTCCTTCGCCATTAAAATCCTCAAAGACTTGATCAAAGATTAAAATACCATTTTGGAGGTTGTGGATGTATGAAAATCTTGGCCAAAGCACCCCTTTTTAAGGCATGAGATGACTTTTCCTACAAGGACTTTCTAATTCAATATAGGTCTCACTTAAAAAGTAATTTTCCTATTTTATTTAATCAAAATTTACTCTTGTTACTAAAACCTTAATTATTTCCGAATTTAAGATCGGAAAATAGAACATAACTTTTAGGCCAAAATTTTAAAAACATCAAATTACCTTTTAAAATTTTATTTTGAAAACAAGAAACTAAAATTTTAAACTTTCCTAATGCAAAAAACCCTAATTTCCTATTGACCGAAAAGGTACAAAATAAACAATAAATTTATCAAATAACTTTTACAAAGCCCCCTAATTCCCTCTTATTATTAGGTCATACACACATATAATATTAATTTCCCCTTTTAGTATTTCCTAAAAAGAAAAATCATGAGGTGAGATGGTTTTCCAAGCACCAGCTGCACTTCTCATTTGCGGGTGGAAGGAACCATCGAAAATGATAATAAAATCAGTCTCAGGATGAGCTAGATCACTAATCCTTACTGGTTGTTGGATCTTTGATGGAGGGTGCCTAGAGAGCTTAAGACGATGTTGGTTCTGTTTTTTGATAGCAACCTCATTTTGAAGAAGTCTCTAGAATAGAGTTGGATCATTGGTTTGTTTCTCCACATCTGCTACTGTAGGATGTGATTGTACCCATTGAAGAAACCACTCAAATAGAGAGTCATTGATGCAGTTAAAAATTGAGCTAAAAGTTGGATAGTCCATGCTCCACAAAGCCTGGGAGACTTCACAATTAAAGAATAGATGGAGGTTGTCTTCCTCAAATCTGTAACATCGAGGACATGTTGTGTCTACCTTAACTCTTTTTTTCTTGAGTTCTTTCTTAGTTGACAAAGCATTAAGAATTGCCCTCCAGAAGAGTAATTTCTGCTTTGGTTGGACAGTCGATTTCCAAAGTTTCTTCCAGGATAATTTCTCCGTATGGAGCTGTGCATGAGGCTGTTGGGCTCTGAGGATTCAACATATTCATAGCTGTGTGGTACCCTGAGTTGACCGTATAATTTCCATGGTCCGTTTGAGTCCATTAGAGCTTGTCATTTTGGGAAGATCTTGTGGGATCAATAAAAATGTTTTTAATGGATGGAATGACCGAGGCTGGGAAGATAGTTCTAAGCAAAAGGAACTTTCCAATGACTATTATCTCGAATTAAACCTTTGACCATGAATCTGGTGTGTGTTGCCATGATAGAGTTTCTATTGATTGAATTGATGTGATTTGGTATCTGAGCCTGAGACTACCTTCCATTTGATATTTGTTAAGTGTTAAATGTTTAGTGATTATCAAAACTCAGCCTAAGTTTTAAAATATGTTATAGGGGAGTTTATATAATATATGCACATAGTTGCTTTGAGTGGGGAAAAAAATTTAAAATAATAGTTCGTTTCAAAAAAAAAAAAAGAATTATACTAACAAACACCAAAAGAAATTATGAGTAGTTTTATTGTCTTTTAATACTTATAAAAACAAAGTTTGTATAGCCATAAATGTTTGGTTTCCCGAAGATTGTGACTTGATGTTTTTATTAGTGGTGATTTTATTAAGGTATTTAACTATATACTCTCTTATAGTTATTTATTCTTTTGATTTCTATGTTTTATTTTGTGAGAGATGTGTACTTGTTCAAATTTGACCATATTGTAGAAAATTTAAAGACAATAGATTGTTAAAGCTTTGTAGAAAATTTAAAGACAATATATTGCTGAAGCTCTAAGTGTTGAGGAATGTCATATTTATCTAGGGAAGGGATGCCATATTTTTGAATTATTAGATGAATATTTTAGACTTCTTCATTGTTCCCATATGGTATTTTTCTTTTTTTCTCATATTCTTCTTCTAACATTTGAGAACTTTTGTGTTTCCATTAGTGTCACTTTAGTACCAATGGGTAGTGGGAAGGCTGGCAAAAGAAGATGAAAGCGCCTTATTTTCCGATTCATAATTCCAAATACAACCCAACTCTCATACTTCCTTTCGTTTTATAGTTCCGAAAACATCACAAGTATCATCTGAAACCAACCTGTCATTTGGTTTTATAGTTATTAAAAAGAAGGCAAATTTGTTTTATTCTTTCTTATCATCCCTTTCCTTTGCTCCCTTTGCTTTGCTTATTGTCCAATTAATTATGCCAAAAGAAAAATAATAGAAATCAACATCGAAAACAATTTATATTTCCTTTCTCCTACTTATTCATCTAAATTCTTAATCGCAAATCGCAAAATCAACAACACGTTTCTGTTTCCTTGATTTGTAACAAACCAAGAAAACTATTTTTTTGATTCTTGAAAGAGCCTCACTATTTAAACTTTCTTTCATTTCCTTCATCCTTCCCAAAAGCTCGAACTCATAATCGCAACCGCATTCTTCTTCTGTTTCTCTATTCTGTTTCTCTCTAGAAACCAATATCCTGTTCATCTTCTGGATTCTCTTCCTACTCTGTCATCCTTTCTGCCCTCTTCTTGTTCTGCCATCCTTTCCTGCCCAAATGGAGCATTCTGATTGTCTTATTATTCTTCCATCCTTTGCCCAAAGTGAGCGTCCTATTATGTTGTTATGAAGAAACTCGCCACATTGCCAAAGCTTCCAATGTCGACGAATATGGCCAAGAACTTCAAGGTAGTAGTAAGTGACATGAATTTTTTGATAAGTATAAATGATAGGAAAGATCTTGGAGTTGGAGACGGAGATATAACATACGAAGGTAGCTTATGTCTGGGAGAATCGAATCATTTAGTGGCTGTTACCAAATGTCAGAACATAGATTTGGTTAACAAGCAAGTTCATATTTTGAGGATGAGGATATTGATAAGGATCACATTTTGAACTGCTACGCATACGGCTATGGAGATGATCATCAATTTTATTCTTGTTGGGACTTGTATGGGTGTACGTTGGAAGATTTGATTAAGGTTAGGTGTGCAAAGCAAGGTAAACTAAATCCTAGTGACTCATAAGTTTATGCAAGCCAGATTTTGCAGAAATATAATCTCTGGAATGACAAGGGTGGCTTTACCATAAAGCAAGTAAAGCATTTGCTTTAGGCCAGAGTATTGAGTGAGGCCCCCATTTATCTAACATTAATAAGAAAATTTGTATTTTATCTTATTTTTTATACAAGGTAAAAAATTAACTCGACGGTACCTGTCAGGCATCCCTCGATTTTATTAATCTTCGAAAAAAAGAAATACACCGGTAGTGCTTAAGACTTACCCAAAGGGAAGAGTCTGCCTTCCAAAGATTGTCTAAAATCCCACGGCAGCTCTGTTTACAACATCTAAGATGATGCCTTCCAAAGATTAGCTAGAATCCCATGGCATCTCTGTCTATGGTTATAAAGAAAGAAAACTAAGAAAAAGCCTTACAAAGGATAAAACATAATCCCCATGACTCTTTCATTTAACTATTCAAGCTATATTAAGTCCTACACTAGGGATATAAAGTTATTTTGTTCTTACATAAGGGAAAGAGCATTTATTCAGGAACCATTTTCCTCTCAATATTGTTGGGAGCTCATTTTGATGAGTATATCGATGGGTGGATCCACTTGAAGCCTGCTTCGCTAACTCATCAGCGAAAGCATTTGCTTCTCGATAGATATGAACAATATTGGAATTGGAGACTTGAAGCAAACTCTGTACTTTGAAATAATGATGCAACCGCCATGGAAAAATAGATTTTCTAGAGAGAGTATTAGCGATTACCTTATTATCTGTTTGGACTATAATGGAATTTATTCCCATTTCTTTACAAATTCGTAACCCGTTGCGAATTCCGGCCAATTCTGCTTCCAAACTATTAGCTATGCCCATAAACTTGCATTCAGCTCGAAATAAGGATCCCTTGTCATCTCTAATCGCAAAGCGCCATCCTGTATTTCCAGGTTGTCCTAGAGCTGATCCATCGGTGTTTAGACATACTTCTCCTGGGTTTGGGGAGTTCCATCGTATTGATAGCACTTTCTCTTTTGGCATGATCGGAA